TGAATGTAAGACATGGACTCTTTTTATACTATGGCCTAATTTTAAAGGTCCAAAAAAACCTTGTTTTTAAAGTCTGCCCTTGTGCTAAAGTGCCACTGTACGTATACTATAATTGATCTTGCTGTAAACTATATTTCAAAGTAAATCCTAGTGTAAGAAGTTTTATATAGCTGAAAAGGTTTTAAGCTGCTAAAACACTTCCTATTTTTGAGAGATGTGAAATGCAGTATGGGATTATTTTAATTTCTTAAGCCCAAAGATTAACTATTAAGGGGTTTCTCTTACCTTAAAAGATTAATTTTGGCTTTCAACAATTTGTGTAACCTGAGTATATGTGTACAATGCCAGGGGTTTTTTTTTTTTTGGTCAACAGGTGCAACCCAGGGGACCACTCATTGCAAAAGGTGCAATTTCTTGCCTAATACCATGATACCATGTTTTGCTTACCTTAAAGATAAGCGCTAATTATAACAGCCAACTCAATAGTAAATTAAAGGAAAGTGTGTGTGGGGGGGTCTATTTAGAATATGAGTGTAGGTGCCCTCTTTTCTCATTTGGCAGCTTTTTTGATACTTTTAAGCAGAATGGGTAAGTTGTATTTCTCCAAATTCAGGTGAGATAATATTGCCCATATCAAATAATGATAAAAGACAAGTTTATATAATAGTACTTAATGTACATACAGGAATTTGAAGCATGAAATTAAAAAATAAAATTGCTTTTTCCCGTGTCTTGTTTTTATTGTATAAAAAATTGTTACGACCATGTAATATTCTTAGAATGCACATAATTAATCCTACTGAAATAACAGTAGGACCGTTGGTTTTAAGAGGCAACCAATTTGCTAACTGATATAGACATTTGGATTAGCAGCTATACCATTAAAAAAGCAACTGTGGCTTCCTCCTTCCAGCAGGGCTAACAGTAAAAGGCCACAGAATATTACTTTGGAAATTTACATAAAGCTTCTGAATTCATCTCATACCAAACTGAGTAAAGCAGGTTTAATCGCCTGTCTCCCTCTTCTACATTTTAAGATGACTTCGGTAAACAGAAGAGTTCTTGTCAATTTGAGAAATTCTGCAAATTTTTTTTCTATAAACAATTTTCACAAGGGGACCTTGGAGGAGAAAAAAGACACAAGAACTAAACTGGCTTTCTAAAATACGTTCCAAATGATAGGATAACTCAAACTAGTTCAAGAAAAATCTTTTAATTTCTACACTAAGCAAGCAGTGAATCCCAGAGCCGGGTTGTATTTTGTCATGCAAACTGTCGGAAGAAATTGATTTGGCAGAAATAATGAGTCTTTTTTTCCTGTTCATTCCCAGTGTAATTTCTATTAACAGTGGCAAGAATTGCCCAGTTCTCTGCAGTACTGCACTGGAATCCCGCTCGATTCAACAATTTTCATCCCAAGCATCTTTATGTTAGGTTTTGATGTATACATGTAAATACAGTATATACTAGATTTCTGGTTTGGGACTGACTCCAGTGGTAAAAGTGTTCAGAGAATTAAGAGCACATTGGCTTTAACTACAAAAATTTTTAATAGCTACGGTTAACTTAAAAAGTTAATAATCGTATTATATCTTATACCTTAGAAAGGTACTAATAAAGTTATGGTTAGCGTACAGTAAGTATGGTTGACATGAATTTCTCAAATCGTACTTGTAAGAACCAAAAAGTTGTTAGAGCTCATCTACCCTGTAGCTGCAGTCAGCAATAGTATGAGCCTTGTCAGTGTTACAATTTAAACTTGTCATACCTTTTTGATGGCAGCATATATAGTACAATGGAATCTTGAGCCCATAACCTATCTTTACACTTCAGTTTTGGTAAATTCTCTTCATCCCAGAAGCACAAGGTGGAAAATAACTGAAGGAAAACACTAGTTTTCTAGTGTTTAATTGTCTCATAGGCAATTACTTCGTAAACCAAGTGGGATAGAGTACATCTCAAACCTCTTACATAAATGAGGAAAGCCTACTGAGCCACAAATCTGTCAGGCAGAACTAAACCTAAAAAAAAAAAAAATCCAAGTTTTTTTGGATCCTAGACCAGTTTATTTCATTATCTAGCATTCAGAGATGTGCTCTACAACAAACGACACAAAGAGGCCTTTTACTTCTTTACAAACTACTCTGTCAATTATCAACAAAATGAATTTACATGCCTTGCTTTGTACTCCAAATAAAAAAGGAATCCCCCATCTTTAACATAAGGGTGAAACAACTGTTAGGAATACATAGAAGCAACACAATAAACATAACTGACACTGCTGGAGGAAGGGACAAAGGGAAAACCCCCCCAAAAAAGATCCTTTTCCATAGCAGCTAGCTATGTCTTACAGATGTCAGTAGTTGAAGATGAAAAGGTTGCTGACTTCTTTCATCAGTGAGGACAATTCACTCCTGGGACTCCTAAAAGCTCTGATAGACCGCCTAGTTGAACACTTATTTTATTCCTGTCACAGCCTCCCCACTTCAAAATTATCTCAGGATTTTAAACAGGAATATGGTCAAAATGCAACACGAGATTGAAATTTGGAAAGCCAGGCTGGAAAGTGAGTCAACAGCTGTTGAGATCTTAGATTACATTTAACCCCTTTTCCATCCAAGAAAGTTACAAATACTTTTTGTAATTAAATAATTTTCATAAATCTATTAAATCTTCCCTCTAAGTGAACTCTAGATTCCATTATATTAATTGTATTGTTATAAAATTTCCCCATTTGTAAAAAAGAAAAAAAAAGATGAACCAAATGAAAAACCTTGGACACTTATCTAGTATCTGCCACTTACTTGCTGTGTGATCTCGGGCAAGTTTGAAAAATTAAAACGGGTAAAAATACCTCCGTTTCATATCTCCCTTAGGTATATTCTGCTATATTTTCAAAATCTTTATAAATTAAAGGCTTAAACACTTCTGTATTTTTAGATGAGTAACTTTACATGAAGTTTTAAATGTGGCAGAAATAAAGACAAAAACCAAATATGCAAGTGATGAAATCAATGTATAGATAAACTTCATATCCTAATAAGGAACTAAGGAATCCAAAACATTTTGTGATACTATAAAAGTTATTTATTCACTATACACAGAACATGTCCCCTATAAAATGTACATGTAAATCGCTAGAAAGTATATTTGGTGAACATTTTCTCAATTACAGAACATACTAAATCAGTTGGGAATAACAGCTATCTGCCTCAAAATAATCTAATTATAGCACCCAGAGTCTCCTTTACATCTGATGCAAAGTTAAATATTTTGGGGGATTGTTTCCTAACGTGTTTGAGGAGGCAGAGTTAACAATTATATATATAACTCTAGTATATTACAGTCACTGCACAATAAATCAGTTTATTACAGATTAAAACATCATTTTTTCATTATTTGTATTAATGGGATGAAAACAAATACTGGATACTTTTAAATGGCAAATAACCACAAAATTACTTATATTTGATAGTATATTGGGTTTTATAATTACATAGGATATAAATGGTGTAAAATAGTTATAATACACCTCAAACAAAACAGTGAGGCCACACTGTAATGATTCACTAGATTGTGCTCAGTAGACATTGAATAAGTGAATTTTATCTATTTTTCTCCCCAATTACCCAGTACAATTTTTGCCCACAGTAAGGGCTCAGTAAATGTTTGCTGAATATACTGACTAGGAAAGAGGTGAGAAGAGATGGACCCTCTTAGCTGGATGTCAAGTATAATTGGAATTTATGTGGGAGAGTGTTTAAGGAAGATGTAAACCGCATGTGGCATACAAGTAAGGAAACTCAGATGCCAACAAAGCAAACCATTAAGCAGAAAACACTGGCACTGGAATAAACAAAGGCAAGATTTGCCAATAGCAAAAACAGAACTGACTTTAAGAGATAAGCAAGTTTATATTGGACCATACCTTTTCTCACCCAATTCAGTTTGAGACAGACCAATAGAGGCACTGTAAGAGACTATGGCTGTCTTCCTTGATATTCAAACATCCTAAGTTTCCAATTTAACATGGACCTGTTACCCATGAATCAATATAAACCTATTCAGATTTAGGGATTAGTTTCCACAAGTACAAAGTTGAATTTCCTTTTATTTGTCCTAAAAGGCTTACTTTCAAACTTGAAGGGACTTCAATTATTCCATGTAGTTTCGAAAACATTCTTTTATCTTTTCAGACCAGAGTCAAAATATTCGTACAGTATTCATACTGCAGCACCTTCCACCCACCCTTTGGTCGCTTGAACTGCCCTTCTTTGGTTCTTTTTCCGCTTTCTCAGATCTTTCTTGAAGTGTAGTAAGCAGAACTGTACTGGGTATTCCAGCTGCAGTTTGGTCTTAAATAAAAGAAGGATGTTTGTCAGTTTGGTTTTCTTTATTCTTCTCTGTGGTATACAGGATTTTGTTAGTTGAACTGGATGTAGCAGCTTACAGGGCCAAATTTTCAAGAGAATAGTATAATAGTTCCCAGGTCTTTTCCCTGGGTTGTAACTTAACAGCTCATACTCTATGTAGCACCTTTCCTTTCTCACTGAAGCATTATCTGTCATTATTCTTCTTGCTTACTTGGCTTCAAAAAAAAAAAAATATGCAGAGATCTTAAGCAAAAAGAGAGGTGAAGTGTCAGCTCTCACTTGAGTCTTGATATGTTCTACTCCAATACTGAGCCGTGCCAGACACACAGTAGATACTCAATAATTATGGAACTCAACTATGTAACCCAACATTAAAGCCCTGTATAAGGATCCTTAAGTATCAGTAGGATCCTATCTATCATGGGTTCAACTATAAAATAGTCCCTTTGAAGCTATGTTATTTAGGTATGTCACTTTAGAAATAACATATAAGGTTCTCAAGAAAATAGCATGAGTCTAAAAATAAGTGACACAAGTAAAAAATAAAAATGAAACCACTACTTCTAATTCTATACAGACAGAAAAATTAAACGGGCTATTTCCCCAATCTACTCTAATTACAGTCCATTTAAAAAAAAAAAAACATCTAAGGATCCGGCTGAGCTCAAATCCTGGATCTGCCTTTTACTGCTTTTTCTTTGTGCCTCCATTTCCTTATCATCTGTTACACGAGAAAATAAAAGTATCTTTCTCATAGGGTCTCGTGATGAGTAAATGAGTTAACACATAAAGCTCTTAGAACAGTGTCTGGCACATCATAAATACTCAATAAATATCAGCTATACTTGCCATTATAAAGCAGCTTGAACTCAAACCACAAAACACCTAAACCAGTTCCCCACAGTGATTATCACTTAATATTAAGTGCTCACGAACATTCAATGCAAAAATATTTTAAATCACGCCATAAACATAAGGCCCAATCCATCTTGTTTAGGATGGGGAAGAGTAGAATTATTGGTCCATCTAATAATGAAAATATAAACTTAAAATTAGCTAACTCAAATTTCATTTTAATGCGTATCTTAACACTACCAATAACCTCTAAGTTATTTAACCCAAGGGGTTTAATAAGCAATAATGAAACAACTCTGACATTACATAAGGAATTTTTAAGTACTACGTAAAAGATGTACCTTCCTGGCAGGTTCTATCATTTCCAAAGTAAAACCTGTGCCTAGTGCAACACTGATTTAAAATATTCCTAAATCCGTTGTTATTGTATAATCTCATTCAAAACTATAATAATTCCAGTTAATCATTATTTCCTTCATTTTGTTTTTATTATAGCATGTTTGCTTAATTTACAGCAAGCAGAAAATAAGCTGGGTCTTGTTTTGATCCAAACATTGATGTTTTAAAGGTTGTACACAATATTTGTTAAAAAGAACATATAAAAATACCTTTTTAGAAGCTTCTATAAGAAAGAAAATACAAAGTTTAACCCCACAACTTTCCTCTTTGCTAGAACTGCAAACTACTGCTACAGTTTTAAATAGACTTTTTGTTGTTTAAACTATACATCCAGGAAAATCTAAAAAAATTAAAGAAACGTGCATATAAATGATTGCATAGCAGAACATGAACATTAACTGCAAACAGTAAAGAAATGAAAGTTAGAAATACTATCAAATATACAAAGGTTCTAGAATCAATCCTTTAAACACATTCCACAAACAGTATTTAAAAACCACCTTTTGTTCTTTACAGGCAAGGCCTAGATTACTAAAACCAAAATTGAAAAAAGTAATCCTCTAAAAGGAATGGTTTCCCTAAAATATTTCTTACTTATTATGCCTGTAAGCAAGCAATCTAAAAATTTTAAGGATGCCAGCTTTTATTCTGAAATGAGATTGGACACATCAAGTCACTTTTTATTGCCCCCAAATGGTCTCGCAGAGAGATGTTAGAAATTATAAAGAGTTAGGGTATTATTTTCATCAGGTACTACATGGATAATCAGTCAAAACCTCAAGAGATGTGACTTCCTTAAAATTAGTTTTTTCCAGAATTATTTAAAATCTCATGGCACCACAGAATCACGTAGAATGGGAGTGTTGTCTGTTTACTTGCCTCACATTAAATAAACTGAGGCGTGAAGAACAAGCCTCCTTCATAAAGATATGGGCAAATTTTGATACAAATGCACACACCAAGTGCTTTAAGTATCAAAATTCAGTCCTTTTACACTATGCGCACACAGAAACAAAACCTACTTTGAAAACACTTTACTTGCTTTTAACAGCAGTGAGAATACGAAGCAATATTATGGTCAACAATGCTCCTTAAAGTTTAGAGTAACTGCGTAAGAGCATTCTTTTCCCCTTAAAATTATTTCTGCCATCATCAACCTGCCCAAATTTTAAGGTGGGTTTTTCCGATGTTTGTATGGTTCCAAATCTTCACAGAAACCAGAAAAGTGAAGGCTCCGTGTTTCAATCAAAAACGTCATCTCCCTGAAAATGCTACTTAACCCAGTTGGCGTCATTCCCCGAGACAGTGGGGTTAACAAAGAACTTATTCCACACTGTGCCATAAATTATCATCGTGGGTCTCGACACCTTGACAAGACAAAAAGGTCCACCCTGAACCTAAATGTGTCTAGTCGGGTCAGTGTTGTACGGTGGCTACAACTTCACTTTTGTATCATTCTACCTGATTAGCAAGCTACATTTCTAGGTTAACAGTTCTACCAAATATGGATATGAAAGTTTATTTTTAATAAGACAATGTTGCAAATTATGGTCAACCAACATCTTTTCACCAATACCTCAAGCATTAAAAAATGAGAATCTTTACAAAAATATACAGAGACACCACAAATTGGTAGCTGCCCATAACATTAAACAAACTGGACTCTTAAGAGTGGCTTCTCAACAGCATATCATTTTAATAATAACCATTGCCTGGTACAGGGAAAACTGACAAGTGTTTTTTTAAGCATCATTGCAACATTGTATTCCTGATAATTTAAGTAAACCAAACTATGAGTAAATGAATGATACATGCCTAAAAATATCATGGTTTATACTATCAGTGGCCACTGGACTTAGGACTAGTCCAAGACCTTGATCTAGACTTTGACCTAGACCTAGACTGTGATCTTGACTGAGATTTGGATCTAGGTGGTTCTTTTTTCCTTGATTCCTTTTCATATCTTGAGCCAGACTTATAATGTGTTTTGGAATCTGTTTTAGAGGTGCCTCTAGTTTTGGTGTGAGATGCAGACCTAGAACGTGATTTAGCCTTCATTTCTTTCTTGGGCTGGGACTTGGACCGTGATCTTGAATTGGATTTAGATCTTGAAAAAGATCGATTTCGGTGTTTGAATCTTTCAAAACAGAGGAGAGATACAATTAGAGTAAAAATTAGATTCTATATTAATCAAATTTGTTATTTTTAGAGCAAAAGTTCACTCTGAAATTGATAAATGTATAGTCTTTTTCAAAGCAAAGTTATTTACCTATCATTGTCGGAATGGCTTCTGCTACGCCGTGGTCTTCCAGTCGGTCTACTGCTAAAAAGTACATCAGAAAAAGCAAACAGTGACACATGTCTATTTACAGGTTTCTAATTTAAAAAATGAACCATAAAACTTTTAAAATAAAGCACTAAAAATATTTTTAGTCTCAATGAAGCATACAATATACATAATTAAAAGTATACAAGAAGATTTTAAAAAATTAAAAGGACAACAAACTAAATCTTTTCTGTGGTACACATCACTTACTTTCTAGGGCTATAAGATCTTCTATAGTTGTAATCAAAGGAACGACTTCTTGATCTCCTTCTTTCATAACTTCGGCTTCTAGAACGTCTATATCTGTCATAGTCATCATAGCGTGAAGAACTATACACATTCCTCCCTTCCTTGGCTTTCATCTGATTTGGAGCTATGAAATACATAGAACAGAAATATTTACAAACATTAAAAACGTAGTATTTAAGCCTCCAAATTATAGGAAAAATTCCTGCATCTCCTTCCTTTATGTTTCCAAATCTGTGGCTACTTGTGAATGTTAATCTTGGAAAAGGTATTTACTTTCAAGCAAGTCTATCAGAAGACTGTTTTATGTTAAAAATGATACCCTCAAATATCTCCCCAACTATTTTGTTTTTTCAAAGACCTCTCACATCTAGTTTGTTGTCCAAAAATATGTCAACTACTTGGACATTAGGAAAATATACCATGAAAGTATTTTTAAAATTCCAAATTAAAATACAAATGACTTTTGAACCATATGCTAATTTGGAATTATCCTACCATGGTTTCCATTCAGTAGGAACAAAATTAACAATGACAAAATACTTAATGGTGGCCTACGAATGATAGTGTCAAAACGCAATAATATATAGTTATACAGTTCTGAGAAGCCGTGACAAAGAAAAGCAGAAGAAAACTAACACCTGTCGAATGCCTTAGACATACCCACACCCCGGACAGTCCTCAATCCTTATGTTATCTCATTCAATCCTATGAAGCAGATACTTTATGCATATGTGTATGAATGTATAAATAACACTGACTACCCAGGAACCTATCATTCAACCCAAGAACTAGAGAATCACCAACAGCTTGTGTCTACCTAAGTACTCCCTCTCTCTTTAGCAGCTTTTTTTTTTTTCCAGCAGTTATTTTAATCTCTATCTTTTAATATCTTGCCTAAGGAAACGTAACAGTTGAGCCAGAATTCAAACCCAGGTGTATCTGACCCCAAAGCCTGTACTTATGCCTCATTAGCATGCAGCCAACACCTGGTGTATGCCTGCATATTAATAAAAACCAAGTACTAATAGAAAATCTTTCCTAAATTTAATCTATAGTCTTTCCCAGTCTATCTGTTCATTTCTACAGCCAGGCACCTACATAATTACCCAATTACACCTTGATGATCTTTATGCAGAAGGGAAATGGCTCAAGAGAACCAAAACTTTCCAAAGTTTATTCTTTTCAATTCCACTCTTAGTATATTAAACATGCCACAGCTGACAGTACTGATCTACCTTCTTTAAGAGTCCAAACATATCTCAGGCATTCTGATCGGTGCATTCTAAGTCTTCTGTCTACCCTGAAATTCTGCAAAGTATTCAAGATACTCTATCTTCCCAAAAAACTCTTTCTGGGTTTTGAACAGAGAGACATATTGCACAATACTTCCAAGAAGCACTCTCAGAACAATGTGTATAAATATGATGTATTTCTGCGTGCCACAACTATTGAAGCCGGTGTGCCCAGAGCCCGTGCTCCGCAAGAGAGAAGCCACTGCAATGAGAAACCCACGCACTGCAACAAAGAGTAGCCCCTGCTCACCGCAACTAGAGCAAGCCCACGCGCAGCAACAAAGACCCAAAGCAGCCAAAAATAAATAAATCGGCTAAAAAAATAAAATTAAAAAAATCTGTATTTATGTCAAACCTAACCTCCCAATTCATCCCACCCTCCACCCTTTCCCCTCTTGTGTCCACACGTCCATTCTCTACGTTTGCATCTCTATTCCTGCCCTGCAAACAGGTTCATCTGTACGATTTTTCTAGGTTCCACATATATGTGTTTCTCTTTCTGACTTACTTTACTCTGTATGACAGACTCTAGGTCCATCCACATCTCTAGTGGGAACCTGTGGTATAGCACAGGTAGCTCAGCTCAATGCTCTGTGATGACCTAGATGGGTAGGATGGGGGTGGGGGTGGTGGGGGAGGCCCAAGAGGGAGGAGATAGATGCATACACATAGCTGATTCTGTTTCAGCAGAAACCAACACACCTTTGTAAAGCAATTATAATCCAAGTAAAAAAAATATATATATATACAGAAAAAAAAGAAATGATGCATTTTACATATAGGCATAAAGGTACTTACTCTTTCGATCCCCCTGTGCAAACTGTATTTCAATTTGGCGTCCACAAATCCATTTTCTGTCCAAATTATGTAAAGCATCTTCTGCATCACGAACATCCTCAAATGTGCTAAATGTTAAGGGGCTTGGGAAGTTTTGCAAACTTTGATAATGAATGAAAGTTCAGTTGGTAAGTCTGGAACAATTCACAATCTCTCGATATTATTCTAGAAAATCAACCAGACCCCACTAACTGGTTGGTTGATTCAGCTATAAACACTTTATAGAGTATTAAAGCACTTGTGACTCTGTAAGGCATGAGTTTGAAAACACTTATGAATACATATTATGAAGTTATTACTGAAATAAGGCCTGTTACAGCTGAACTACCAAGTAATCCCATCAGAAGATTTTCCTGCGTTTTAAGAATTTTACAAAACAAGACAAAAAAGAAAAACAAATGTCAATTTTATTTTGTATGCTAAAACAAAAATTTCTTAAAATAAAACCAAAACTGTTTTTCTATTTTTGTTTCAAATGAAAAAAAGAAAATGCCAATAGTTCTTGTGTAAGCAAGCGGAATATACCTTACAAGAAATGTAAGCATCAACCTCAAATTAATCTTCCTATTTTTCTCAGACATATCTAACATTATTATTTCACTTAGCTGTCTTCCTTATTACACCTTACTGGGAAGACTGGTACACCAGCCACTTGTAGATATCAAGAGAGTGTCAAGCAATACTTAAGACATATTATATCCATGCACAGACCATAAAAGCATGCTGCCAAGAAATAACAGACCATTTCTAAAGATTCCTGGACTGGAAAGCCCTAACCATGACACCGAACATAAAGCTTCCCGTAGAGAAGTGCGTTTGGGACTGGTTTTCAATTTGAGAAATTTCAAGATAGTATTTATAAGCCTAAAGCAGGAACCGCTGGTACCCATTTTTGATCTGAGAGGCTGTTGCCTTGTTCTCCCTAAACAAAGTTATTCTGACCAAATTTAGTTCCTTTCCTAAAACCACCATTCTAATAGAAGCCAAGCACATATTCAGAGCAGTGTTCAATATAAAAGCTTCTGAAGGGGAGCTAGGCTAGGTTTGGCTGTGGATTTTCATTCTGTACTAAAATTCACTATTCTAACTTGTCCATTTCTATTTCTTAAATTTGAGAGAAGTGCAGATCTTGAGTGCTGATTAAAAAAATCCCTGAAGCGATATACTCTCTTCAAGACTGATATTAATATTCTTTTACTCCACAGACTAAAAGGTCTGCCTCACTAGATTTCCTGTTTTTTGTTCTGGAAGGACTTAAACACCACAACAGGGTCCCAGTTCTCTCTCTCTGAGGCTATTATGTGTAGTGAACGAGAGCTTTTCTCAAGTCCTATATCACGAAGTTTTCATCATGAAAAGGCAAAGGTTGACAGGGAGCTTAGAACCTTGAACACTATAATCAACCACCCCTCCAGGTTAATGCAGTTGGGCTCTAAAATAACTGAAAAGAACAAGTTCATTTAAAGGGTATACTACTTTGATACTTTGAGAGACAGAATAACTTCTTAAAGGATTCAGACCAAGAAGTATAAAAATTATTTATGAGAGCCTATCATCCTCTGGGGCTACCCTCAAAAACAGAATCCGGGGTTGGATGAACCATGGCAAGGTTCTACCAGACCTGTTAAGAGAAAGCTAGCTGGGAATGGGGTCAGATAGAAAAGAGGACCACAGCAGGGACAGTCAAATATCATTCTGATGCCAGTTACGGAGAAATCTGTACTCAGGGTCTTTGCAAAATCCTGATACCTATTTCTTTTTAACTACTTGAAGACCACAGACAGACTTTGTGTATAAAAATAGCTATAATTCACCTTGAGACTCCTTTGGTTAACTCTTTCCTGGCTCAAGTATCATATACTCTTCAAACTGCTGATCCTGGTTCCCAGGCCACCCCCAAACCAGGTAAAATCAGGCCAACACATTGTAAGCCAGAATGTACCGTTACTTTTTTTTTTTTTTAACCAAGCCAGATATACCTCTTATCCTCTCTGTAACAGAGCTTTGCAACCAATTCCCACAACTGTCCTTGATCACTGGGCCTGCAGGAGTAGCAGCTTTTGGCATTTCGCCTAAGTCTCATTAGAACTCTGCTAAGTTTCAAGAGATCCACTGAATTTAAGCAGTAAGAATTTTTCCTAGCCTGAAGTCCACAGCCCAAACCTTTGTTGCCACAAGGAGATGATCTCACTGAAGGAAGTAATGTCACCTGAAACTCTGGGCCAAGGAACAATTTCCCATAGATCCTGATTACGTACCCATACCACAGATAAGGCCTTCTGCAACCCATTCTGGGCCAACTGATCACATGTGCTAAAGCAGTCAGGGCCAGCAGGTTTCACAGAGCTAAGTTTCAGATGTTAGGAGTATGTGCGTGCCCCTAGCAGCCCTTTTAAAAAATCTATAAACAGACAGTATCTCTAGTGGAGCTGACCTTAGAAAACCACCAGAGCCGTTTCTAAGTAGTCCCCAGTGCACGCACCTGTGTGCCCTCTAAGCATGGCTCTATGGAGTCAGCCTGACTCCAGAACTTCATGCTACTCCAAAGAGCACTGCCTGCTACGCTATGGCACCGGACCACTTGGTCCAAAACAGAAATATGCTGAGTTTAAGCTTAACAACATTACATCCTGGTACACTTTAACTTCACAAGCTAAGAGAGAGTGCATTTATACAAGACCACATCACAACATCAAAGGCCCATGTAAATCAAGTTACAGGTTTTGTCACTAGACCAAACCAGAATAATTTTGAAAATTAACTGCTTACAAAACATGAGGAGAAAAAAAAAAAAAAGGAAAATAGTTATTCTGTAGGATACATCAGGTATGACTCCTTTAATCTTGGCCATCATTCAACTTCATCTTGACCTTTAACTCTTTAAGTGCTTGTCAGAAGGACTTGTCATGAGATGCTTGGCCAAATATGACAGATGGCTTTATCTTTAACTTTGAAAAACAACCTTTTCCCCCTTTTGTAGATAAAGCGAGGCTTTGTCTCCCATTAGGCTTGTCCTTCTTCCAGCTTTTCTTTATATTTTCTTTTCCCAAACTCTCCCTTCTCTTCAAGCCTGATCCTTAAGAGGTCTTTGGCTTGTCTACTTGCCTTAAGTGTTGAACTCTACTCTAAAGGTTCTTTCATGCTTTCTCTTTGGGGTCGCCATAACTGTACAGCTTTACATTCTCTGAGGTAACAACAGAGGACAGCAAATTAGGGGACAATATTAAAGAAGTTTACCTCATTGTTATACAATTTGTTTTTGATCAAGTGATTCAAGTTAACAAACAAGAATACCAAACTTTAATTGCTAAGCACAAGAACATATTAACTTTTGAGTTACATTAAAGGTGGTAGCAACCAGAGTGTATTCAGATTTTAATCACATAATCACTGATTTGAGTTTCAGCAGCATGAATGGGAATTTAAATATTTTACTGTTTTTGGATCAACTTTAAGAAATAGTAAGAGCAATGTGTGAGTCAGAATTAACTTAGAAAAAATTGAAGACAAAACATTTATTAGAAAACAAAAAAAACAACTACTTTTTAGATGTTACCTCTTACAAAAACTTGAATTTCAAACTTCAACACCCCTCACTAATCAGCCATCTGAAGAAAGGATATTGAACATATGCAAATCCTCTTGGACGGCGAGTGTAGAAATCAAGTGGAACATACACATCAACTATAGGACCATAACGACCGAATTCGCGTCGTAAATCTTCAGACCTAAAACATCATAAAAAGATGCCAAATTTTTAAGTCCACTCCTTTAAAAGTTTCTTTGTAAGAAATAGGTTTCTTTCTGTAATATCTCAATTAATGAAAGAGACTGTGCTATGTTCCTGGGTGACCTGAAACAAACAAGCTTTCTAAATCTCAACATCAAGAGCCAACGGTAAGAATATACAACAATGTCTTTTTGAAAAAGAAAAGCCAGAATGCAAGATTCTGAAAGATAATAACGCAGTTTATAATAAAACCTTAACAACAGGAAAACAGACATTTAAGGAAACTTGACTACAACTTATCTCTATTGCTTTTATCCACAGCCTTCATTTTTCATAAATAGTATAGTAGCATTAAGTTGTACTTAACTACTGCTATGTTTTTTTTAAACAGTATCAAAGCAACTCTAGTATTCTGAAAAATACAAAGCACTTATTTTACCTCCAAATTTTAGCGACAGGGTTACACACTTAATGGTAGATACGGTTTGAAAAATAAAAGTCACAAATATATATAATTCCTCAATAAATGTCAATATGACATAAAGGGGAATGTTTCCTAGACCCTAGAGTAATTACTATTGCTTACTTGCCCTACTTAAAGACAGAAAAATATAAATCATACAAGGCTACCTAAATTTTTTTTGATTTCTGTGTGTGTAGAGTGATTATTTGTTAAACAGTAAATCTCATCTTATGATAAGATCTTTTCAAAAAAGTCTGACGGCAACTCCAAGCAATTAAGGGAATTGGCGAGAACAAAGGGACGGTCCAGGTTAATCCAATTTAGCTATCAACGTCCTAATGGTAGAGGCTTCCTAAACCTCCGTTTTCAAAGGGTGGCCAGTATTTCCCGGAAATGGGAAGAACTAGTTCGTACCATTTAAGTGGAAGAATTTTATATCTTTAATCTCAACATTCCCTTTATCCAAACATCTACAACACCAAAAAAAAAAAAATCGCAAATAAAACACAACAAAAAGGGTAGCAAATGCTTCGCCACACTCCCCTCCCCCGATCCGTTATTTTACTGCAGAGCAGTTTTTCTTTTTTAACTAGAAAAAAAAAAAATTCTGGGCCAAGGGGGCGTGCACCCCAAAGAACGTGAACTTCAAATCAATGGGGGGAGCTGATGTTCGGTGGAGGCAGAGGCTGAACGCCCGGAGAGGAAGCGGGAAGGAAGGGGCCCCCATCTGCGGAGGGGGAGGGGACCGAAACGCCGCCACGCGGCCCGCTCTCCCGCGGCTGCCCGGGAGGACCAGCGGCGCCGCCCTCGCTCCCACGCGGCGGTTATGCCGGCTGCGCGGCCTAGTTCGGGCCAGAAAGCCGGCGCGGGACCCGCCATCTTCACCCCTTCCCCTCCCCCGGCGCAGGCCCAGCGCGCCGCCGCCGCCACACCGGTCCTCTCAGAGCGCCCGCGGCCTCCCCTCTTGGGCCCGGAGTGCCCCCCCTGTACATACCTGGTATCGTCCGCCACGTTTCTTACGAAGAGAGACGTGTTGGGGGGACGCAGGTACCGGGACATGACGGCGGCGAGGGTCTCAGCAAGGACACTAACGGACTCGGCAAACCGTCCGCAGCTCCGGCGCCAGATCCTCGAGACACACAGCCAGAGAGCTCCGCTACAGCAACCGCCTCTTCTCGCGAGAGTTCACTCCCGCCTCCCCCCACCTCCTACCTGAGTGCAACGCCGGGACCTGCAATGGTTCTTTCCCGCGAGATCACGCGGCGTGCGCCTGCGCATGCGGGCGGCGGGAGTACGTGCTGCAGCCTAGATCTCATTCATTGGCTTGTTGAGCTGCCTCCCCTTCTTCCGCTAGCCCGCTCTTTCTTTCTTAAGTGCTTTATTTTGCCGCTCTTTTCTCCCGTGCACCGCGTTCTCCCCTCCTGACCGCCCCCCCGCAAGTCAGGAAGCAGATGTTTTAACCTGTACACCACACTGTACAGTTTTTACAAACTATACTGAGTTTTAAATATTATAATCCGGAGGGACAGGCTTTCCCCTGTCTGGTCCATGTTATAACCTGGCTTTTATCAGATCTCACATCGGCAAGAGAAGAATTTACGGCCTCTCGTGTTAGTGTGAAAGGGAAGGAGGTGTGTGTCCTTGCAGAGATAGGCCTGCCTCCCCAGTGCTTTCTGCACGCGGTGGACTCACTCCCTGAGCGCCTTTGCCCAGGTCGCCCCTCGCGTACACCCTTCTTGGTTGTTTCCTTCACCCATCCACGGGGTTTTCCCCCCATTAAAGGCTGTTCCCTACCAAAATGGGACGCAAACCTCACATCTTAGTCTCCATTGTCATCTACACTGTCTTTGTTGCTAACGGCTTCCTGAGTGTGCATTGTTCATGTATTGCAGTGTTTCTCCATCTATTAGAATGCTTCTGGCATGTAGCACATTGCCAAGCAGATGGCAGGGACTCAAGAACTGTTTAAATTAACTTTTATTTTACAAAACGACAAAAAAGCATTATTTTTGCATCAATCCGCATCCATAGGAATTAAGTGATTTGATAACCTGTTGTGCTCTTTAGGAGAGACATTGTTTTTCTACGTTTATATTTTCCAAGATGCTTTGGACACTTGGTTTATTAAAACATTTATTGATTACCTATTATGTGTCAGACATTACGTTAGATGCTGTAAATTCAGTGGTGAAAAACATGGAGCTTATGTTTCCGTAGGAAACAAGCTGGTCAACAAGTAATTGCAGATCTGTGATATGAAAGAGACAGTAATGTGACAGTTTAAAAAAAAAAACAACTTTTGTTTTAAAACAAAGAGTTGCTGAACAAGTGTTTCCTTACTCCCCTCTCCCAAATTAATTTAAGCACTTTTTAGTGGCTAGAAAACAAGACTCCTGTAAATTACCCTGAGTAATGAGGAAATGAATACAGTTTGGTGGTACTCCACCCAACTTTAATATGGATAAATGTTTAGAGCAGAGTCTGATGCATAGCGAGTGCCCTATAAATGTTAATCGGACTGGCTACATAATTTGTGGGGCTCAGTGCAAAATGAAAACGTTCAAAAATTAAGATGACAATAGCAGAGCACTAAGCCAAGTGTAGGGTTGTTCCGAGAGTGGGGTCCCGTGCAACTACACAGGTGGCACGGCCATTAAAGCCTGCCCAGAATGTTAGCAATTATTATTATTACTCATAATGCCTTGAGAAATAATAAGAGCAAGTGAGGTACAAATATTTACTCACTGGAATCACTTTCTGCCTCACATACCAAGTGCCCCTTTATCTTTTGTGCTTTAGTATCCCAGTCTTGAAAAAGATGATACTGGGAAAAGTAGAGAAAGTAAGCACCGCTCAGCTGGGGCTTGAGCTGGGCAGTTTACCAAACTCTAAATCTGCTGCAGGTGGTAGTGGCAGCACATGAGGCAGGTGGGGAGGGAGATACACCAAGGAATTTTGGAAGTAAAACACTTCCTCACAAAAGTTCTGCCATGTGTGGTTAAGAGCACCGTATTTCATTCCGAGCACAATACCAAGGTTGGTAATTTTTTTGAAAGCCAAATGTTAATCTCTGAAAACGGTCTGTTGGCACTGCACCTCTTCTTGAAGAAATTATGTTTTATTGGGATTTATGTCAGAAAACCACTTTCCTTGCGTACTGTTCTCAGAATTGCACAAGTAAGACCCGAGTGTAAAATATATACCTATGAATTTCCTTGATCCTAAAACAGCTCTTTCCTGATTTGTGGACGATAGTACAAACATCACACCTGAGAGGGCCGTGCTGCTAGCTAGAGGGAGACTCACAGGGACAAATTCTGTGTGTTAAAGCCATGGAAGTATGAGCCTGTCTCCATAGACAAAACCAAAACCTTGAGTCAGTACATCAAGCTTAATTTTATTGCTAAAACTGTTTGATTCAGACAATTGCCATGGATGGTGCTTGGCACTGCCTCTCTCTCCATGAACAAACAATCAATTAGAAGCATGCTCTTTAAATGCGTTTAGTAAGACACGCCTGGTGTTTCCTAGATGCCTTCTCACTCTAATGAGTAGGCAGCAAGCCAAGTTCCCCAGACTGAGGACTCAGTGTTCCCTTTTAGACATTCCTTACTTGTGGGTCAGAAACTTTGGGGCACATACATAAACACATTATCAATTTACCTATGTACAGACTCTTCTTTTAACCTCAGGCTCCCACTAGTTCTGCTCTGTGGGTGAATTCACCACTACTGCACATACTTGTTTATCTTATTCCTTAGATGATCTATTCTAGCACGTGGATTGCTACCTTGAATATGCTTAAGGTAAAAATCACTTGTTATATCTTAGCCTACTTTTAAATGTCTTAAAATAACATTTTTCCCAGTTATAAATGTCCTGTGTTTATTGTTAACATTTTGGAAATGAACTATAAAGACAACAAATATTACCTGTGATCATACCACTCAGAACTAATTACTTCTAAGACTTTTCTGAATTTCTGAGCATTTCTATAATTGTTTAAATTGGGGTCATACTATATATACAGTTTTATAATGTGTTTTCTTCCTCACTTAACATTTTATAAAGAATTATCTTCTGGGGCTTCCCTGGTGGCACAGTGGTTAAGAATCTGCCTGCCAATGCAGGGGACACAGGTTCGAGCCCTGGTCTGGGAAGATCCCACATGCCGTGGAGCAACTAAGCCTGTGTGCCACAACTACTGAGCCTGCACTCTAGAGCCCACACGCCACAACTACTGAGCCTGCGTGCCTAGAGCCCCTGCTTGGCAGCAAAAGAAGCCACTGCAAGGGGAAGCCCGCGCACTGCAAGGAAGAGTAGCCCCTGCTCACCGCAACTAGAGAAAGCCTGCATGCAGCTACGAAGACCCAATGCAGCCAAAACTAAATAAATAAAATAAATAATAAATTAAAAAAAAAAGAATTATCTTCCCTGGCCATTAGATAGTTTTAATAGGTATAGTTTTTGTTTGTTTGTTTGTTTTTTGCGGTACGCGGGCCTCTCACTGTTGTGGCCTCTCCGTTTGCGGAGCACAGGCTCTGGACGCGCAGGCTCAGCGGCCATGGCTCACGGGCCCAGCCGCTCCGCGGCATGTGGGATCTTCGCGGACCAGGGCACGAACCCGTGTCCCCTGCATCGGCAGGCGGACTCTCAACCACTGCACCACCAGGGAAGCCCAATAGGTATAGTTTTTAATCACTGCTGTATCAGTTATGAATTGGGTTCAATTGCCTGTAACAAAAACTTGAAATAATAATAATGTTGATCATGTTAGCTTACACTTATTACTGAGCACTTAAATGCCAGGCATTTTTCTCACAAAAGAGCAAGGGAAATGGCTCAAGAAGTAGCAGAATGTTACAACTTTCAGAGGTCATTCTGCTCATAGTTTTCAGTTATTTTAAGTCACATATATTAACCCATTTAATTCTCACTCCAAACCTATGAGCTAGGTTACTATTATTCTTTCCATTTTATAGATGAGGAAACAGGTATACAGAGTGGTCAAAACAAATTAGAGTTTCTTATTTATTTAATTAATTTATTTATTTTATTTACTTATTTATTTATTTTTTGTATAATGAGAAGTCAGGAATAGGGAGTCCAGGACTGGTATGGCAGCTTCAGGATATCCAGGCTCCTCCTTCATTCTTTCTTCTCTGTTATCCCTAGTGCTGGCTTCTAGACTCAAATTGCCTCATGGTCAAAAGATGGCTGCTGGAGCTGCAGGCATCATGTCTACAGTCCAAAAAAAAAAAAAGAAAGAGTAGGACAAAGTTCAAAAGGCATATGCTAGCTGAATCACCCCCCACCCCCCACACTCAAGGAACTTATTAAGTTGGAGACAACAATACCCACTTATACTTAATTAGCCAGAACTGAGTCTTGTAGCCAACCCTATCATCAAGGGAGGCTAACCACTCTTATTCTCAACAAAATTAGAATTCTGTTTGTAAGGAAGAAGAGGGAAAGGAAAGATGTTGTGGATACATTAAAAGTGTACATTTCATTACATGGTTGTAGCATAATTGATTTATGTACAAACAGTGATGATGATAATAATAAAAGCTGACACTGAATAAGAACTAACTACATGCCAGATACTGTATTTATCATTTTATCTGCACTATCTCATTTAATCATTTAATCCCCATTCTACAGATGAAGAGACTGAACCTTTGAGACATTATAAGGCTTTCTGACAGTATGTAAGGTTGAGGGAATAAAAGGTAATTTAAGACAGTTCCTGTGTTTTCAAGGAGCTCTTAAGCTAGTGAGGTACACAGTATTTGTAAAATTGAGTTCTAGGTTACTTTTACATGGTTCATAATTGACTTATCTTAATTTTAATCAGATTAGTTTTATATCATCCAAGATGCCCATCAATTACTATCCAGTCCCAGAGAGTAACAATAGGCCGAGTGAAAAAACTTGCTTACAGGTATCTATACCTTTTATGAGTGTCACTGAGCCTATAGTCAGAGACTGTTTGAAGCACAACACACAAATAGACAAACATAGTTAACTTGACTAAGGTTTGGGCTGCCAGACATTCGGTCAAACATCATTCTGTGTGTGTCTGTGGAGATGTTTTGGGATGAGATTAACGTTTGAACAGGTAGACTGAGTAAAGCAGGTTGTCCTCCCTGACGTGGGCAGCCTTCATCCAATCAATGCAAGACCTGAATAGGACGTC